TATTTGTTTGTATCAGCTTGTTACATTGTTTGTTGGTCACATGATCATCCCTGATGTCACATGATCATCCCTGATGTCACTCACATACATCCACTTTCATCATTTAAATACCAACGTCAACGTTTGGCACCTTTTCCCATTTTTTTTTGTTAAAGACATGTAGTGAATGTGAAATCATATCCATCTGTTCCAAAAATCACCCCAAAAATTCCGGAAAAATAATCTATTGTAAAACATGTCTTTTTAGCTAGCATGTTATTTTAGATAATTTAGCTAATCTGTAATTTCACTAATTCAAGATTTCACTAATTTAAAATAAAGTATATTCTCACAATGAGATTGTTGACACTTTAGCTAAATTAAGATTCAGTTAATTTATGCATTGAGTCAAATTCGCTAAAATGACATGTAGCTATTTAAGCATGATTTACAGTAAATTGTGCTAATTCTGGAGGGAAAATTTTATCAAAAAGGCAAAAGTTTACCAGTAATTCGGTTTCACCAGAAGAGGGTAATGTTTTACAGTGCCAGAAAATGTTTGAAAATTGTTTATTTAAGCCTTTGTTTCCATTTGCATAGGGGATGCATAATTGATCATAAATTTATAATCTAAAAAGTAGTGGATGTCCTTATATTATTTGTTTATTCTAATATTGATAGCAACACATATGTATGTTGGTACATGGTTTATTTACACACACTGGACGCAGCCACAAAGGCGACCACCACCAATTAATTATTTGTTTAGTCTCTGCCGTACGTCCGGAGCTATATCTCAGACACCCATTGACTGATTTCATTCAAACTTTACATGAAGACAATACATAATGTCTTACATATGCGTGTCAAGTTACTTTATTATTAGAGCAAAAATGGCCGACTTGTGGCCATTTTGGATGTAAAATTTGCTATTTCTGATACCTAAACGTGTTCGCAGCAGTTTCTCAGATGACTGGGCCAATTTAGATCAAAGTTGATATGTTGATCATACATATTGGGTTATAGGTGCACATCATATTTTTTTCGTGATTCGAACAAATATGGCTGACTCGTGGCCATTTTGTTTTTCATAATGCCCATGCTACTTTCTCTTGAATGCAATGAACATTTCTGTTTAAATTTTGTACGAAGGTAGTATGCCAAGATATACATCTGCACCAACATTATTTTTGTGATTCAATTCAATATGGCTGGCTGACACCCAATTTTTATGTAAAAGCACTATAAATCATCATTTTTACATGTCTGGAGCTGTTTCTCAGAGATGACTAATCCAATTTGGATCAAAGTTGGTATGATGATCATACATATTGGGTTATAGTTGCATGTCGTATTTTTTCTGTGATTCAAACTACATGTAATATGGCTGACTGGTGGCCATTTTGTTTTTCATGATACTCATGCCTACTTTCTCCTGAATTGCAATAAACATTTCTGTTTAAATTTTGTACAAAGACAGTATACCAATAGATACGTCAACATGAACATTATTTTTGCAATTTGATTCAATATGACTGCCCAATGTCTAATTCTTGTGTAAAAGCACTAAATCATACTTTTTTACAAATCCAGATCTCCTATTAATGGTTTTAATCTAATCTCAATGGCTTCATCAGCATCAAATTGATATGTCAGATCACAAAATTTTGGACAGGGACTGTGTCATTAACAATGACTCGTTTATTCTAATATTGATAGCAACACATGTATGTAGGTACATGGTATATTTTCACACACTGGACGTAGCCACAAAGGCGACTACCACCAATTAATTATTTGCTTCATACATGTAACTTTCTGAAAGCTGATTCAAGACTGTTGCAGTGTTTTTAGTCTGAGAAGTATTGTTCTACACCATTATCGAATAACCGCCATAAACAGTGCAAATGTCAGTAAAAACTGGACATCTACGCTAAATTGAATTTGTATGGCAGCTTCTGTGTATATGCTTTCAAAAAATTACCATAGTAATTTGTGATATCCTTCGTGTAGTCTTCTTATGTATTGTACTCCATATAGCGACCGAATATTATGTTTTACATTAAATTTACAATGAAGTGGATGAATGTATTACTTCCCCCAATTGATGGCTTTTACAGCATTGCATAGTTTAATTCAAATTTATTAAAAGGTATTTTTCTTATTTCAATGTTTACCTACATGTACTGTCTATTGTTGCCATGATTGTACCTGATCATAGATATTTACATGTATTGCTTGAATATCTAATTACTGCATTTACATAAATCTACATACAGTCATGTATTCTGTCAGTTGGAGGTAATATATGGTGATAAAGTATTCAACTTAATTTATTTTCTCCAAATGAGCCTAAAATTATGTATTTTTATGCAAATTAGCTATGGTCATTTCTCCAATGTTGTATATTTTGATATCATATTTTTTCTTTCCAGCATAAGTGTGCTGAATGTATTTAAAGGAAATCTGTTGCAAAAACATTTGTTCTCAGTTATCACATTTTCAGGCAAAAAAAACACGTTCTTGCATGTGGAAAAGTGAAAACATTGTCTATCTACATGTACCAAGTACTTTTTTTTTTGTCTGTTTACCCTCAAACACCAAATTTGTTTGGTTTTACCACAATCCCTCTCGTAGGACTGTGGTTTTACTTTATTTATTTTACATATTTTTTCTTTCACTGATCTCTATCGTACTCAGTTTTCCTGACTATATTATATCACGGACAGGTACTAATTTGCCTCGTGTATCTCAATGCACGCATTTTATTGGAGGCCAACTGATTGAGCCAAAATGACCGTGTAAACGCATTCAACTTGTTCCGAGTTAGGCTCCAATAAACTCTTGGGTAGAACTCTAATTGGACTGAAGCAAATTTCACAAAGCATTTTGTTTTTGCAATTTTTGCTGCAAGGTTAAAATGTGTGAAATTCCAAATAAAAAATGTTGATAAGATATTACTGGCTATGTTTACATGAAACTTGCATATATACATATATCAAAGCTGTCAGCATGACATGTAAATACACTCTGTAAACTTTACAATTCATTATAAATTCATAAACAACGATTAAACTCAGCTAATTTCTACTTCAGGTTACTCATCCACCTACTATTAATAAACTTGAAGAAATCCTCATTAACAATCACAGCACCAATATAACACAGCAACAACGTTCAGCCAGGTGGCTGTTTTTGTTTTTTTGGATTCCGTCTTAGTCTACATACATGTACATGTATTATAGGTATACCGTACATAGGTATTGTCAGTTATCCATAGGTCATCCCTCTGGCTATTGCAATTAACATCAGCACCCCCTGTTAAAGAGTAAATGTTCATATACAAATGTACTTCAGTGTATATTGTTACTGCTTTAATTCTGAGAGAAACAAAAGTTAGTAAAATGACAATTTTGTAACAATGAACATTTTTCTGGGGTCCTACACCACAGGCTTTCAGAAACAAATTAATCAGTTTACAGTATCTCCTGCTTGTTCAATGTTATAGTCTCATACATGTACTATGGTTAAAATTGAAGCTAAGATCTCTCTATTCAATGTCTACTTTACCTACACATGTATACCAATGTGCTATTTGAAATTTAGATTTTCAGTTTTCATCTTGTGGTGTAACAAATACTCCATACCACCATATGCTTTCCATAATGTATGGAGTTGAGTTCATGTGGGCAGCATTGCATTAAAACTAGATGTTGTAGATTAAGTGGTATAGCCTATTTTGCAGTCCATCTGTCATTGATTTTGTCAGGTCCAGCAGCACCTTAGCCCCTCAGATGCCAATAGTTTGTAGATACTGTGAGTACATGTAGGTATGGTCATTGTTGTGCTGTTGTATTAACACTGGTAGCGTTGCATTTCAGCTGGATTAAAAACATGCATGTACAGACATATGTGTAACTGTAGTAATTTATAGTTTAGTTTGCTGTTACAGATCAAACAATTAAACCTTGATTACGATGTATACTGTTACACATCGTGCCACCTTTTCACTTTATGCTTCCTACAGAAAAATATTTTTAATAAGAATTTAAATAATAATAAAAATTTATGAAGTATAGTTGTACTGTGGGTAAGATTTTGATTGTAACTCTTGACATGTCAAGTAATACATGTATGTGTCCTGTTATTAACTTTTTCGCCCAAATTTTTCTGCACTTTTTTGTTATATTCTGCAATATTTCTGGAAATGAACCCTAATTTTTTAGTCAACAGATAAATTTTGATTCAATTTTCAGTTTTTACTCAACAAATTTGGCTAGTTTTGTCCCAATCTTCTGAAGGAAAGTGCAGAATATGAATGGGACTATTTTGTGAATTTGTTATGAAAGGAGGGAACTGGTTGTGGCCGAGTTTTCAATATTTAGGGTGTCACTGAATAAAGTCTTTGTTTGATGATTGAAAAAGAAGTATTACAAAATCAATACTGAAAAATAATCCATTTTCACTATTTTGATGTTTTGAGCAACTTCACTCATTTCAGCGAATTTCACTTATCAACGAAAACAGGGAATTTAAAAACTAGTGAATAATTAATGCCTTTACAGTAAGTGATGTGAGGCATTTTCCATTACATGTTGTTAGATTAGTCCGAGATGCAAACCAGACTCTTGAGTTGTATAATCATGAGGTCCATCAATGATCTTTAGTAAATTTATAAGATACATGTAACTATTTTAATCATGTTACCACATGTTAATAGGTGGGAGGAGCAGTAGTTCAGCTTCGATAAAATGTAATCGTATAAACCTAATAAAAATAATGTTATGTTTATTTTATTTTTAGCTGAGCTTCAATATACCCCTGGTACAAATGTACTTAAAATAGTTTTTTTTTGTGTCTGGTGTATATTTTCTGATTAAAAACTAGGTCAGGGACCTGATTTGTTCAGTCTTGGACAGTGTGCTAAATTTGTGTGAAACATTTTCTTGGTCATGTCCTTCCTTTTCTGCAGCAATCTTGTCACTGTTTAATTTCTTTTTTTTTTTTTTTTTTTTTTGCAGATGAAATCAAGAAAGCAACCGAAACACAACAGTAAGTGATAATTTTTGGTTACTCTGGTGGGTTAATAAAGTATGTGTGAAATCATTATTTGCGTTCTCCCACAGCTCTTTAGCACAGGCTAAGAAGTCAAAAACGTTAACCTGTTTTAAAAAAATGTGTGTGAACGGCTAAGAAACGCTAAGCACAGGTTAAAGCGGATTCGTTTTTAAGACTTTGTGATATGACTGTGTGGTACAGGCATACCCTGTTGCGCGACTCGTACGTTTCAAAAACGTCTTGAACATTGACACGCATACATTTCTTTTTATATTCACTACACGGATATATTTCAGAGAACATTTTTTTGTGTGAAATTATAGCAATTCATTTATATCAAGACATATTTGTACTTCAATAGACCATTTTTTGCTCACTGCGAGAATCACGCGTTATGCGTGAAATCAAACGTAAAAACAGGACAAACAAAGGTCATAGCGTCGTAGTCGCGTCAAACATCGCGTGTGATTCGACAAACGCGAAAGTATTTCGGGGACATTTTCATGCTTAATAATGTGCTGTCCACATTTGATGATAGGCAATTTCGATTAAGTAAGGGTATTCGGAAGCAATATTCCTCTGTTGAAGTTCGGCCGGCCAATGTAAGCTACGAAATAAAGAAATTCTAGTTCAAAATCAAATCGTTTGATTTTTGCGGCAGACGTTCGACGCGCGTCTTTCATGCATCCCGCAAGATCTCGCAATTGTACGGAAAATCATCTATTGTTGGGAACTTCATATATTAAATTCGAGAAGTATACTTGACTTACTCTCAGGGACATATTTTTTGTCAGACAACTGGTCCCTTGAACTAACCCCACTGTTACCATGTTATCATGACCACCCAATGTCAACCAGGCCCATCACATCTGCCAATAAACTAATCTAGGCCAGTACCCACAGCTTTGTTGTTTTTCAACAACAATATGGTGAAAACTATCTCATTTTCCCTTCTCGTAACTTAATTTACAGTCTGGCCTCTCAGAACCTAGTTCACCTCTATAGTCTGGAAAAATAAGAATCGAGCAAGTTTATAAGCCTTGTATTAAACCGTGAATGTCTTTCTTTGGGTACATACTCTATGGAAGTTATTGGAATGTTTCCGTAATATAAGTATAGAGAGATAAAAGGCAGTCTTTCGTGTAGCATCAGCGCATATAACTTTTATAACTATTACTATTATTGTTCATTGAGACCAAGTTGTCTCTATTTCAACATTTCTCATTAATTGTCATTAATTGTCACTAAGTGCAGGGCCGGACTACTTTTTCAGCCAAACATTCCCCCTTAAGCAAACCCAGCTTGTGCCATTTGCACTCGCTCAGACCGGACCATAAACCCATGATTTTGGTGCAGTCAAAATGACTTTTTGAATCATACTTTCCTATTACTTGTATTCAATAATCACATTAACATCACTCTGAACTTATAAATTAATGTTATATTCATGGTTGTGTGCAACATGAAAATAACGCACCACGGGCGTTAAGATTGTTTGAAAAAGTGATTTTGCAGAGCACCCCAAAGTGATATTTCATGCTCGAGTGCATTTGCATACTGAAAACTGGCGGCTATCTTTCTTTTTATACACGATTTAAATCATAGCCTTGGTATAGTCTGAACACAACAATTATATACACCTATATTCCTAATGCATGGGCTAATCAAGTATCCATGCAATCTGGAGTGTGCATAAATCAACCATTGGTCATCGGGTGATATTTTACAAAATGAGCTATCATCGTAATTTAATAATGAGTATATTTTCATGATTGGATTGTTAGCACTTTAGTTAAATGCATTGAGCTAAATTTTGCTGAAAGGGGAATGTGCGTGCAGTTATATCAAAGTGGTTGACAGTAAAAGCAATCTGAACACGTTCTGCAAATTACTATAACTTTACTAATGCATGTTACATGTATTATGTTTGTGACTTTTTTTTTGCAATTACTTGTAGGCAACAAATTATTGAAATGTATAAATGGCTAAAATTTCACGCAAGACAAACTTACACAAATTTCTCTGTTTAGGGAAAGTCATGTAATTTTTATAGTAGTGTAAATTGTTTTTTACTCATTTGGAGTTTTCATAACTTGCTTGAAATAAACTGAAATGATCAATACAGGAACATTCGTAGTGAACAGCAATATTGTTATGGTCAATTCACTACTTCCTGTATTGAGTGCCAATTTTTTCCCGCTCAAAATGAGGTAATTTTTTTCACATTTTTTGTAATTTTCACTGAATTCGATCTTAATTTTGGACCAGACAGTTAAAATTTGACGTTGTTTCCAGTTTTTCATCAAAAAATTTGAAATTGCTGAGAACATTTTCAACAGAAAAAAAGCAGACTACAAATGTGACTATTTTGTGGCTGGTGCCTGAAGTTGACGTTGGTGTTTAGAGGGTTAAGGGATACATGTGTTACCTATTGTAACACAATGCTGTCTACACACATGCACAATACTGTAAAGGGGTGTAATTATTTACTGGGTTTTAATTTTGCTTATTTCGCTGACTGGAAAATGCGCTAAATTAAAACCCAGTGAATATGTAAAATTTAGCTTAGAACACATTATCTAAATGATAAAACCGTGAATTTAAAACCCACTGAATTTGCCTGAAATGGTAAATCAGGGAAATTTAAACCCAGCGAAAATTAGTCATTTTACAGTATTTAGGTGCATTGTTGTCCATGTTAGCGTTTCATCATAACTCCTGTGCAATGTATTGAACAAAATGTTTCCTTATTGTTTTGTTTGAAGTGTACTTTTAATACAAAAATACAAAAATAACAACATCTGGTCACAACAGATGCTTTAAAATGCTAACAATATGTTTAACAATTCAATGAAAAAATTTTGTGTCCATGCTTGAAAAATTTGTGATAAATCTTAATACAGTGTATACTAACATGTAGAATTGAAAAGATTAACTCAAAATTACCCATGTTGTCTGCTTAAGCATTCCGTTTCACTGTTCATATATCTTGAAAACTCGCGTAAAGTAAATTGCGTTGAATTTTTAATGGCTTTATTTGATATGCAATGTGCATCTGTTGCCTGTCGGTTGTGATTAGAAGATTTATTTCCGTAAATTTTAAAAACATATAATTTTGGTGCATCATTTTGCGTGTTTTTAAGTGTTTTTTTATAATTTCTTCATTAATTTTCAATCTAATGATCATAATTTCTCATCAGGTAAAATTCGTTATCAACATTTTTCAATTAATCTGGAATTTTCAATTCCAGTTTTGATTTGTGAAAAATGTTGTCTTTGGCGCTCAAAAGTGTACTGTGAAATGTAAATGGGGGGGGGGGGGGTGGTGTACTGTACCATTTGAAAGGAACTGTTTATAAATCACATGGACAGTTCTAAGAAAGTTGAAATTAAATAACGGCACAGATGGTGCCTTGTTTCATATGTACATGTAATAAATCTGTAAAACATACTTCGAATCGTTTTCACTTTTAGAAGACAAAATTTCGTGAAAGTCTGACTCAGAAAATTCATGAAAACTTGCGTAATTGAAGTGTCTTACATACAGTATTATTGTAAATTGCTTTCCCCGGATTATGTCGCTTCGCTCGTGAAAGTACGGT